AAGACTCCTAAGGATGGACAGGAGAGTCTTGTGGTTAACCGTGTCAAATGTTGCTGATAGGTCAAGAAGGATGAGGACAGATGACAGTTTGGCTGACCTAGCAACATGCAGCTTCTCAGTGACTGCTAAGAGGGCAGTCTCGGTGGAGTGAGCTGCTTTGAAGCCAGACTGATTAGGATCCTGGAGGTTGTTCTGAGAGAGGTAAAGAGAGAGCTGGTTGTAGACTGTGCGTTCGAGGATTTTTGAAAGGAAGGAAAGAAGCGATACTGGTCGGTAGTTGCAAGTGTCCGAGGGATTTAGAGTGGGTTTTTTCAAGATAGGAATGACCCTGGCTATTTTGAATGTTGTTGGTACATGACCGGAAGTTATGGAGCCATTAATGATAGTGGTGATGAAGGGGAGAAGGTCCAGAGAGATTGTCTGGAGCAATGTGGAAGGGATTGGATCCAGTGGGCAGGTGGTAGGGTTGGAAGATGAGATGACTTTCATGATCTCATCAGCCGCAAGACTGGAAAACTGGGCCAGTGAGGGGGAAGGGAAATCCTGAGTGTGTAGTGTAGTGGATGGAGAGGGAGAGAATGTCTGGCAGATTTCGCCAATCCTTTCGTTTTTATAAATCATATAATTAATTTCTTTCAAAATCCCATATATCCCATTCCATATACCATTAGAATGTTTTATGATGACACCAAATAAAAACACAATAAAAAAAAAATAATTGGACTCATCCCCTTTAACAGTTTCTGAGGTCCAGCTAGTGAGATACCTGCCAAACTGATCCACAGAGGGTTTCCAGCACTGATTATAGAATTTTGCTACAAATGTCTTGGAAAAACTTTGATTGCCAAGCTTTATTTTGGTACCCAGTAGTTTTGAAGACTTCTATCAGAAAATTGAGGGTAAAATTGATTGAAATTGTGACTTCGATTTTTTCCTTTACATTTTTATATCCATGGGAGGCTGACAGAGGTTGCCAAAAAGAGTAAGATATATTCTTTATTTTCACGAACAATTATTTAAATGTGATGTTTCTGGACAGAGAAATGATGAGTTGAATCTGCAGTGGTTTGGAGAGACTTCTCATCTTTCTCCAGTTAGGTACCTTCCAGTACCTAATGAAATATTTATGTATGGATGCACAGACACGAAGTACAAAACTGAATAAAATGTTCTTGGAATATATAAAGAGAGTAAAGCAAAAAGAGTTAGACCAGCACTCATAGGGCACAAAAAAAATCCTGCCCCATCACAGTCTCCATGGGGTGCACCAGGTCACATGACCTCCGTGCACAAATTGTATTAGTGGCCTGGGTCTAATGGCTGCCCATCTGCTACAGGCCTGTTTTCTGATGAACAGTTCTCCCTGAGTGCTAATACAACAGAGCGGAAAACAGAAAGCAAACAAGGTCAGTAGGAAATGACTTCAGGAGATACATTTTGTTAACTGGTCAGCTGAAAATCCAGAGCTTCAGATAACACTTGTGAATGCATAGCATATTTGTAATAATACAGTATAGTGTTTATTTTCGTGACGGGAAAAAAAAAATCCCTTGAACAGACCTTTCTTAATAAGCTGTGACCGAGTCATACAGATGTTAAGAAACACAACAGAAACATTAGTTCTTTATATACAAACACTTCTGTACCATTTAACGGTTTTTACACAAGTAATTGTGATAGTGTCCTAAAGCACACAGCAGCAAGTCACCCCTTGGGAGCATATGACTCATAAGTGAGGAGTGGCTCTGTGGGCCAAGGCTCTGTGCCCGTGATCAGAAGATCGCAGGTTCAAACCCCGGCCTTGGCAGAACACTCACAGATCCTCCGAGGCGGCTGCACATTGGCTGACCCTGGGCTGTGACCCACCAAGCTAAGGAGAGCATGGAGGGGCAGACAAAGGAAATAGTACCGATGTACTCATACTTGTGCAAATGGAAAAATAAAGGATTTATCTATTTAAGCGTGTGTATACATAAAACTGCACCTGATGCTGACAGTATTTTGGTCAAACTATAAGATCATATGTTTTCATAAATTAGGCAACACTATCATTTTTTAAAATTGTTTGATTTAAAGGTAATATTTTTAGATAAACCTTAGAAAGAAGACCAGTTTTTTGTTGTTAATAGTTAACTAGACTAGATAAGATGTATAAATTATTAGCTTCCCTTTACATAACCATCCTACCAAAGGATGAAATTTACCCAACAGATGATAGATAAGGTATCATGATACCAAACAAAAACCAAAAACATTTTTATATTCTATTGTTGAGCAGAGAGATATCATTATTTCCAAACAAAGCAAAAGGCCGCTTTATTTGGGACGACAGGTAGACGTCATTCTGGGCTGTCGTTTTGAAACCATGGGCAACCCTGAAAACGTACAAGTTTGCAATCAGCAAAGGAGGGAAGAGGCCGTCCATAGAGGTTACGCAGCTGAGAAATCCTCCCTGAATTAAGCCACCAGCTGCAAAGCCTCGACACTTATACTTCCTTGATCGGCTGCCACTTTGCATGTGCCATCGTGTGCGTGACTCTTACTCTGCCTAGCCAACACGACACCTGTTAAATATTCACCTTTGGAAGAAGATAGTGACTATCGCTGAGTGCCGTCAACATTAAGGATGGAACCTTGCAATGCACCGGTCAATTATAGTCGCAAGCCACAAAGCTACATTCCATCAGTGTCTCCGCATAAAGAAACAAAGGAATGAGGGACACAAAAGGAACCAGAAAAACCAGAAAAAAAATCAGAGGAAGGAGGAGAAAGTTCTAGGTCGAACAGGTCCAAAGCCACTTATCGCTCATACAAAGCTATAGGATATATTGCCAAATCAAATATTCTAATACGATGGCTCTCAATCGTTCTTGTGTCTCTCTCACCTCTGATGCACACGATTCAGCAAATGAATCATCAAGGCTTTTATTGGCTAAACCAAGCATGACAGTTGTTGCGTACAGTAAGAGGTCTGGAGGTCAACCAGGAGAGGAACCACTCCTCTAGCCTAAAATGCCCCATGTAGACTAGTTAGCATTTCAGGGACAAAGAAGGGGAAGTAAAAACTCAGGTCAAGTGGAGATGGGCTCCCCTACCTGAAGCTGGCAGAGCCGATCAGGGCGTGAGAGGTTGACAGGCTGCGGCCCTTGAATCGGCTATGGGCTGGGTGTGCTCGACCCGGCGGCTCCCCACCATCGTGGCCTGGCAGGTAGTACGGCAAAGAGCCCGTGTCGGACTCAGAGGCTCGCCAGGACAAGGCTGCTTCTCTGCGTTCATCCATTGACTGCTCTGGAGGTGGAAGGTTGGATAAACATCAGCCTTCCCATTGTACCTGGACAGCAGCAATCTCTACTTTAATTCACTGGAGCAACAGAAAGACTATTTCATTTAAAAGCAATATTTAAAAACCTTCGTTTCTAGCAATCATTCAAACCACAGGGAAGTCAACCAGTGTTATTTTACACAATTAATCTGAGAATTTCTTCACACAAGCATCAGTGAAGCATTTTCGTCCCTACAACACTATGGCTTGAACTTCCTTATTAGCCCTCTGTGGGGAACTCCATTTGAATGGGGTGGTGTTCTTCTCCAAAAGCACATAAAACCCATATAAAAACAAGGAAATCTTCAGGTGAGCTTTTTAAATGACCCTTTCTAACTGTGTAGACCTATATTTTGCGTCAAATCTTTACTTTTAAATCTGATTCTACAGCCTTCCCTCGATCAGCATTAATAGAAATGATACATTTCCTGTCCAATTAAAAAAAAAACAAATACCATCCTAATCGAAACACCTTATATTAGCAATAAAAATTCGAAATAAACAAGAGCTAAAAAGCACAACGAAACATGAGGAGATAATGCGTGTGCGGAACCAAGACTTGGTGTTTGTGCAGTAAACGTCGTGTTTATCCGCCACGCCCCACAGGTGCATCCGGTCGGCACGCTGCGTGCGTTTCACCTTTACTCCATGATCAGGATACGCGGCTGAAAGGTGTGTACTTGGGTGAATGTTATTTTGCTGGTGCCTATGTTGAAGAAATCGGTGCTGATTTCATTAACCCATAACTAAAACATCTGGCTGAAAATGTCAAAAAGAAATAAATATAATACACAGCAGCATATGTGAAGCTTGAACAGTATGCAATTTTTCATACTGTCACACCAGCCAGACGTGATNTACACATCTCTATCTCTGTAGAATGTTTTTAGAATATTCTTTAGCGGAAAACAATTACTTCGAAATTCCGTAAACAGACATTTCGGTATCAAAGAAAGCCCGTTAAGTCGTAAATGACCGTAAATCGAGGGATTACATTATGTAGGAACACACCTGATGTTTATTGCTAACTGTGCTTGTTATTACTGTTAATTTTAACTTGTAAAGCCGTTTACTCACCGTTTTTCCTACAGTCTGTGTTTAACCTCAAATATTATGATAGGAAACACATTAACACCAAATGATTCATTTGCGTACTCCCTCCCTCCCCATTAAAATCTTTAATTTCAAAGTGCAGCATATGATTCAACAGGCCTAAACACGTTTTTGAAGATTAGACATAACATCTACAACGATGCAAGGCCATCAGGTTGACAACGTATACTTTTTTTTTTTGCAGTTTCATATTCATGCTTAACATACAATATGTACCTACTATTCTGCTTCGCCCAAAACAGCGCGACTGTAAGGGAAACAAACTATTCGTACATTACCGCACTCTTAAAAGTAAATAAGTAACACTTGTCAGATGCAACAAAGACAGCAGCCATCTCAATGACGTTAGATAGAGGAGACAAACAGATCTCTCTTGTGATCAGATGGCCCTATTAGAACCATATTCTTGTATTACATGTAGCATCAACCATGAACAGACTTTACCCGGGTTCAGTTTTGCGGCTGCAAACAGTGATGTGAAAAGGAAGTGATAATCTGTTCATCACTAGATTTCTAATCTTCAGTTTCCCATTAATCTTTGCTGCCACGTAAAACGCACGCAGAGCAGGCGAAAAAAATCACGGGGAGCCTTATCATCGCCAACAACAAATAGTACTACAACTACTACTACTGCTACCACCGTGACATTCTCAGTAAAATGAAGCATAAATTGGGGCGTTTAAAAATTATTTACAGAACACCTTTTGGCTAAAAGCAATCAAGTCGGTCCACTTCGCCCAAAACAGCGCGGCTGTAACTGAAACAAACTATTCATACAGAGCAGCGGTGAATGGCGCCAAGGACGGCAATTTCGGCTGGGAAAGCCAGGGAGGTGAATATTCATAACCACACCCCCAATTAAGGACAGGCATAATAATTATTATTTTAATTATTATTATTATTATTATTATTAATGCAATAGCGTCTTACAATCAACCAGCTTTACCATCTTTAGAAAGCCTGAGAACATTTTGTACTCACTGTTGACATTCACCATATAACTCTGTAACTTTAATGAATGAAATCGCGGAGGTATAGTAAAACTGGCTAGTTTGAAAGTGCAGAAATCCACTTAGCAATTGTATCTGAGGATTTAGTATTATTTCGGACGGAGACTATTATATTTTACATCTGACCAAAGCAGTGAGACAAGTTTTATCCATTTAATATTAGTTTGCTAGCCACACTGAGTGGGAAGTGCACAACTGATGTATTCCATTATAATTCAATTACCAATTAAGACTACTGAAACGTGACACTGAGTTTAGCTAAAGACCACTCCTTAGGTTGCACTGTTCTCCGTACATTGCTCAACTGGCCAGAAGACTGAATAAAATTTTTTTTCCTCTGTGCTATAATGTCATCTGCTGGTGACACGTAACGCACAAATGTCAGTGTCAGTGATCCGTTTGCCTTATGAAAGCTTATTAAATGAAGGCAAAACTTCCGAATTTAAAAACTCTACACTCGCTCAAACACCATCGCGTAAAGGAACAATATCCTTTGCTATTAAATATATCATAACAGACTTACAATGGCACACTAATGTCATTAAACAGCTTGGCCAGGTGAATACGTGCCGGAGATACATTTTTGATACTTATCCGAAAAGCAAGAGGAATCGTCCTACAGTAACATGATCCAGTCAGTTATCCACCTCGTTTCGTGTTTCAAATACATCACTAGAAACATTAAGCGACACTCGCACAAACTTTTGCGTTTTATTGTGTTAGCAAGCCGCATCGTTTCGAGTACGTCAGGAGAGGACATTGGCGAAAAACCGACTATATCAACACATTAAATAACACAAGACTGACACTGCCACATTTAGCTAGGCAGCTAATTTACCTCAAACTGTGCGTGTAGTTGTGCTGCACAAAAACACTTCACAGCAGTTCTCCCACACTGGTCTCTACCTCGATGAACAAAAAATCCTTATCTTAAGCGAAACCCATCGCTCCGTTCTTTTTATCCAGCTTACTCCTACGTAACCAATTAGCCACGACACTCGCGCGTTCCCCCCTTTCCTTACTGCCGCGGACTGAGAAGCGCACGCGCCGGTTCCGCGTGGGCGTCACCTTTCCCGGAGCGTCACCGATCTGCTCGCGAGGGTCCGCGAGCGCCACCGCGTGTGCGTGTCACTGACTCACTGCTATCAAAACCCATGCCGTCATATCTATGCGACGGATGAACAGAAAAGCCTTTTATGTGTGATTTATAAATCTACGTCGTACAAGTTGCGCATGGGCAGCGAATTTAACATTTTATTAGCGATAACACCCTAATTAAACATTTCTTTAAGTATCTTTTTAAAATAATTGCTAGCAGGTCTGGCGCCTGGGGCATAATTGAACCCACCGAGCCAAGAAAAATAATTAATATTTGAAACAAGAACCAGCATGCCAAAAACTTACAAAAGCCCTGTAGTTGTCCTATGGCAGGGGGTTATTGTTGTCAATGAAAACAGTATGCAGGGCAAAGCCAGGGCTGCGAACAACAAGGCTGCGATAGTCAGGTTCATCTGCAGGGGTCAGACTACACAACCAGGAAAGCAGCTGTGTGGTAGTAGCAGGACTCCTGAGAAAACATTTTGGGCCAGACTGAGAAACACAGAACCATGATCTGTTATAATATGTAGTTGTATGTTGTTAATTACCTTGATCAGTAATCTGAAGGTTCAAGTCTTTGCAGGACCCCTGATGTTCCCTTGATGTAACAATTTTTGACATAAATGTACTTTTCTTGGAAAAAATATTCAGCTTGTACACTTGGTAGATGTGTACATTCTCAGATCAGGATCGACTGACCATACTTTCTCAATTATGTCTCTGGGAAAAAAGTGTCTGTTAAATAAGCAGGTACTGTAATTGCACTGTAATCTGCAAAGCTAGTGATTTGAAGGATTCAAATCTGAGGGATTCATTGTCATTCATTTATAGTCAGTCATTATTGTCAGCTGTTTAACAATGCCTATGTCTGTGGTTAGCTGTTAATTCAGCCTGATCATCAGCTTGGCCAGGGGTAGGCAGTCCTGTTCCTGGAGTGCCAGTACCCAGCAGGTTTTTCATCCTACCTGATGAGTTACTATCTGCCGGAGACCAGATGAGGGTCATCAGAGACCCGGTAGGACAGAAAACCTGCTGGATCCCAGCACTCCAGGATCAGGGCTGCCAACCCATCCTGAGATTGGCGACTGACCACATTTTTATCACACTGCATTTTGGTGCAATGCAGGACCAGTCAATAATATAGGCGGCTGCCTAGGGGGCACTGATTGGCACTGAAATGCCAATTGTCCGGCAAACTGGGCTTATACAGAAATGAGAAGAAGTGATTAAGAAACTGTGATACATTAATCTTTCATGAGGTGTTTGAGGGCAATCCCCACAGACAGAAATTCAGAACTATGCTTGAATCCACTAAATATCAGCTGCAGCTATTTTATACACATTTAGCAAGTAACCCCATCATGTTTCATATTAAAGTTGTATTTAATAAGCCAATATAACAGAAGGGTGTTTCAAACAAATGACCTGCTACAACGTCAGATGTCCAAATGAGAAATTTACTGATTGCGTAGAATGTTTTGAAAAAGTACCAGTTAAAATTCAAGCCAAGGACCTTCCTCTAGCAGCTTTAATGAATTTCAAAATGCCACCTTTTAAAAAAGCAGCTATAAAATAATCAACAGAAGCATGTTCTGCTGCTATTAACTCGTGGAGTGTTGAACCTGAACGTACTAATCATCATTCAACCTTAAACTCTATTGATTCACATCAGGAGAGTACAAAGCCTTATTTTAACCACAACCCCAGTCCCTGTACAAGTCTCCTTCCCCTCTCTCTGACAGACTATGCACTGGTTCCTGTGGTGCAGCACACATCTTATTTGGGCTGTTGCTTACCATGTTACAGACCAGGTTTTCGAGATAAGTATATTCCAGAATCTTTGTTATCCCAAACTCTCACTACTTTTTCTGCTGCTTTAGCGGCAAACTTGTTCGCGCTACATGTGAAAGAAAATACAGGGGCTGTCGTAGAGAACGCAACACTTGATTGATTTCAAAAATAAAAAGCAATCAAGCAGACACGGTCATCTCAAACTGCTTTTTATTACATCTTAAATAACAGTACATTTTAATATAGTTTCTATCTTGCATCCAGCTTTCTGTAGTACACTGACTTGAAAATTAAATACAAAAGATGAAAAAGGACAAGAGTGGAGCAGATTTCTACAGTTATTTCATGGATAGAGAAAACGAAAAAAGGGAACTTAATTTTTATTATTTTATTTATTGTTTGCCACCTCCAGGCCTAACGCACGATTACAGCACATCTTTTTTGTACAGAATGTCGCAGAGGAAAAAAAAAAAACAAAGATGCCACTACTGCTAAAAGAGCTTCTGTTTTTACAGTGATTAGGGAAACTACAGAAAGAAAGTTTGCCATTCAGAGGTTCCAAGTATTTTTTATTATAATTTTTTTTTTATTTTTCCCCCATTTATTTGTATTAAAGAAAGCCAGAAAAAAACCTGTTACAAAACAATTCTAGTAAATTTCGTCTTGTTTCTGGAAAAAGGCTGCTACAGAATGAATCGATGTTTTTGTTCTCGTGTCTTGTGTCTGTGCGAGTGCGTATGCCCGCGTGTTACGTCTGGGCACGCGAATGTTCCAAAGTGGTCTGTGTAGAATCGGGACAGACGCCTTATTTTCATTCCTTTCTTCAAGCATCAATCCAGACATTAGAGATTCTAAGTGGGAATGTTTTTTTTTTTTTTAACCATGAACTTGTGGTTAATGCATTTACGTCTCCCTGGCACAGAGGAGCCAAAACAAAGAGGAAAACAATATAAATACAGCGGTAATGACAGTTTTAACAGGTTATTTTTTCAAAGAAAAACATCAAAGGACTTAATTCCATATGCACTTTTTAAGCAATTCTACAGCATGCGATTCTAAGGGTTAACCCACCCATGGCAGACAAAAAGAAATTTTTTAAAATTTTAACTTAGAAAGTTTCAGTATCATTATTTTCAAACATTGATTTATACAACATTTCATTCACAGAGTAGGAACTGCGTTTTCAAGCACGGAATGGCCGCCTCTGAACAGGAAACTCTGGAATGTAACCCGGGATATAAAAGAAAAACTATGACTCCACCCCACCCCACCCCACCACCACTACCCACCCCACCCATGAGCCCCACCCAAGTCCACCTTTGAGAACCAAAACAAAAAAAACAAAACAAAAGAAATAATAATGAAAAACAGGGGTTAATCTTCATGTAATTACTCCACGATACCCAACAGGAGGCGGTGAGAAAATGGTTAGAACTGTTTTGTCTGTTTTAAAAACAAGCATTCATCCTCATTACAGCGTGTGCTTGGTTAGTTAACATTTTCATCATTATCCTACAGACGATGAGTTTCGTTTTTGTGCAAACAAAGATTGGTGACAAGACAGAAAGAGAGAAAGTGGGAAAAATAATCCAAGACTAAATATACAGAACTGAACTCCCC